TCTGGAGGCCTCCCAGCTCTTACCAAGGAAGGAGCTCAAACACCGGGCTGTTCTGAGTGCGGAAAAGGACGATGATTGGTTTCCCATCCTGTACCCGGGGATTTCCTACAAGAAATCACGGACCCAGGGCTTGAGGGGGAAGCTCTGGCAGCAAGACCCCCTCCCCCACCCCGGGCAGGGGCAGCAGAGGTCTCCCCTGAGCGGTGGACAGATGGCTGGGACGAGAACTGCCCCTTCCTCCTCACGCGTACACGCACCTTTCATGAGTACGGCCAGGCGCTCCCCACTGGGGTCCCAGACCATGGAGTGGGCCTCTCCCCCGAGCCTACAGGTCAGAACAGAGGTGAGGTTGGGAGGACTCCGCATGGTCCCTCCACCTCCCCTCCTGACTCTGCCCCTGGCTCCAGCTCACCTTTGCTCTCCATCTGGTGTCTGGACTGTTGTCTCCGAGAGATCGGCCACAATGGTGGCTGACTTGGCACCTCCCACACAGCCCTTCCCCTCACCTGCGGATGGGGAATGATGGTCGACAGCCCCAGCCCCAGCCCGCCCCCCTCCTCCAGAGGGCAAGCCCCTAGTAGCTGCGCTTCTCCATCGCTGAGCTGGGTGAGGTGGCGCAGTCGGCCTCCTGTGGCCCTCACTCACCACAGCGCTCTGGAAAGGACAGGGAGTAGATCAGGGGCTCCCCCAACACGGTGAACAGCAGTCGGTTTCCATCCGGGCTCCAGCAGCCGGTCTGCGGTAAAGGAGCAAGAGGCAGGGTGAAGGGGTCTACAAGGGATGCAGAACAGAAGGGAAGAGGTGGCAGGGGGCCTGGCTTTGGGGAGCAGGGGCTCACTGGCACCCCTTGCTGCTCTGAGTCACAACCCCCTCTTACCTGACAGCGCCCCGACAGTGTAGGCCACCTCTCACAGGTCCACATCTGGGCTTCCCAGACTCTAAAAGAGAGAGGCACATTATAACTTTGGGCCTCTAGGTTCCAAAACTTGGACCTGCCTCCCTGTCAGTTCCAAGGTCAGGACCAAAAATGACAATGGGCGGGCACACAACTTCTGCCTCATCCCTTCATTGTTAGAGCCGAGTCCCTTCCCTGCTCCGCTGCTGACCTCCCACTCACCGAAAGACGGCCGACGGGGTGGTGGCCAGGACTTTGCTGCCATCCGGGGACCAGAGCAGGTTGGTAACGCCCCCTCCTCTGAACCAGGGGAGAGGGACGCAGGTCTCTGTGGAGACATCCCACACCTAGGAGAGGGAAGAGAGGGGCAGGGAAGCAGACGAGCTGAAGCATCCTTATCATGTCCACCACTGCTCACAGACAGGAGGGACCCGACACAGGCCTACAAGGACAGCCAGCAGGGATTGCACGTCTCAGTAGTCGGGAGGGTAGTGGCTCCTTCCCTGGGCAGGTTTAGGACTGAAAGGACAATTTTCCCTGCTCTCCTTCCTGGCGATTGTGGCTATCACCGGGCAAAACCGTTCTTTGCTGAGGTTTCCAAAATGCCCGTCAGAGGTAGGGGGAACCAACTCACAAGAATAGCAGCATCCACAGGTGAAGCAGAGAGCAGCCGCCCCCCGCTGGGGGCCCAAGCCAAGCTGGTGACAGGTGTGTGTCCAGGGTGAGAGAGCACCTGGGCACAGCCAGAGGAGGGCCTGCCAGGGAAGTGGGGGTAGGGGTCAGAAAGCAGACAGGAAGAAAAAGCCCAATCATTCTATTTTATCTCCTTCTTCTACAAACCTTTCCGCCCCATTGGTTCCTGAGCCCAAAAAGAGCCCAAGGAAAAGGAGTGTGACGGTGGCGGGTTTATAACCACTTTCGGCCCCAGTGAGCTCTGCGGACCGACCTGCAAATGAATCTTTTCAACTGGACAGTGCATCACAGGCGGCCTTTCAGGTCCGCTCCAAGAGGTTCCGCTCATTCTTTTCTGCGGTTTCACGATAGTCCACTGAACACATGGCCAGCACCTCATTCAATCATATTCTGTCACTCCGAGCTGTTGGCCTGTTCCTGTATCAATAACTTGCATCACTGTAGCTTTCTATTTGATTACTGGGCAAGTCAATGAGCCCTCGGCGGCACAGTGGCTAAAGCACAGCCAATTGCTTGGCTGTGAACCAAATGGTCAGTGGTTCAAGCTCACCTGCTGCTCAGCCAGAGAAACACGAGGTCGTCTGCTCTATACAGAGGGGAAACCCTAGGGGGCAGTTCCGCTGCTGAGTCAGTCATTCTGACGGCAGTGGGTTAGACTGAGGGTTCCTGGGACAGGGCGAGTGTTCCCTCACTATTGTTTTCCACATTTCTCTTGGCAGGTCTTCCACATTTATTCTTTCATAAAGATTCAACTGCCAAGTGTAAACCAAAATGACCCCTCTGAACTCTTGATAAAACCGAACACTTAATTAGTAACGAAAGTCAGCCTTGAGCACGATTGCTCTTGAAGGTCTATCCACACGGGAATAAGCGGACAAGGGAAACTGGCAAGCTCCCATAGAACAAGGCTTGTACATCCGTATACTTACGGGCAAGCAAGGCCTGCCTTGACTAGGAACCAGTTCTCTCCCACATGGAACCTGGGTCTCAACAGGAAAGAGGCAGCAGTGGTGCCCTGCTCCAAGACGGCTGCTGACACACGCATTTTGTCCAGTTCACAAAACACAAACGCAAAGTACAGTGGAACTGTGACCCAAAGTACAACTAATTTGACATTTTCAGGATTAAAATTTTCTACCAAGGGATATAGCATGTCTCTGTATCCAGCTCTTATTAAATGTTCAATAACGTTCTCCAGATGTCTAAATTACATTTAATAATTTATCCTAATTTAATCATTATTATGGCCATTCTACACTTGATCTTAGCCAAAAGGTCGAGAAGCAATTATTTATTTATTTTTTTTAACACTCATCTTATTGGGGGCTCTTGCAGCTCTTGTATAACAACCCACACATCAGTTGTCTCGAGCATATTTGTACATATGTTGCCATCACTATTTTATAAACATTTAGTTTCTATATAAGCCCTTGTTATCAGCTCCTCATTCCCTACCTCCCTGCCCCAGAGAAGCAGTTATTATGGCTATTCTAGACAGAATATTTCTCAGCTGATTGCTTGTATAAAGAAAATACTCTAAAAAAATTTTTGTTAAAAAAAAAAACTTTTACAGTTTGTGTACTGTCACTTTGCTAAATTCCTTAGTCTTTTTTTAGCAATTAGGAATTCACATTATGTCCAATTGATATTTTCCTTCTTTATGAAGATTTTATTTCATTTTCTCTTCTCACTACACTCAGCTGGACCTCAGAAAATGTTGACTGGACGTGGTGGTGGTGGTGTTATTCTTATTTTTATTGGAAATGCCTTCAATATCCCATTTCACCCTTCATCATGTTAGCCACTGATTTTGAATACATACTCCCCTTTCTATTCTATTGTATTCTTTGTTTTCAAGTGGAATGTCTTACTTTTGGAAGGATCATTTGTTACAATAAGCATTTTCTTACCTTAATCTGATAATGTAAAAAATCTTGTTACTAGAATTCCCTAATGATGCTTAATTACTGGAAAAACATCCTTGGTTAATGTATCTTAGTCTCTAACATGCTTTTGAACTTCACTTACTAATATTTTCTTTGAGGTTTTAAAATCTTAACTATTACATCAATTATTTTCTTTCTTTTTTAAAATTATTTTTTCTTGTACTACCTATTGTCCGGCTTTAGGTATTAGAGCAATAGCAGCTTTATAAAAACAAAGCAGGACTCTGGAATCAAATTGACAGCAGCACCTCAAAAAATTACATTCTCCCCCAAGAACAGCGGGGAGCAGTGAGTGTATGTTAATGGAGAAACACTTCATAAAAGGAGAGTGAGATTAAGTTCTCCCTCGATGCAAGAACATTTGTTCTATTAACCTGGCATTCCATGATGCTCACCTTCCCAACACAATCGCTGAAGACAAACGTGTGCATAAGAAAATGTGGTGAAGAAAGGTGATGGTGCCCGGCTATCAAAAGATATAGCGTCTGGGGTCTTAAAGGCTTGAAGATAAACAAGTGGTCATCTAGCTCAGAAGCAACAAAGCCCACATGGAAGAAGCACACCAGCCTGTGTGATCACGAGGTGTCGATAGGATCAGGTATCAAGCATCAAGGAATGAAAAATCGTATCATTGTAAATGAGGGGAAGTGCAGAGTGGGGACCCCAACTGGACATCCCCTTACAGAAGGGTCACGGGGAGGAGACGCGCCAGTCAGGGTGCAGTGTAGCAACAATGAAACATACAACTTTCCTCTAGTTCTTAAATGCTTCCCACCCCCACTATCATGATCCCAATTCTACCTTACAAATCAAGCTAGACCAGAAGGTGTACACAGGTATAGATAAGAACTGGAAGCACAGGGAATCCAGGACAGGTTAACCCCTCAGGACCAGTGGTGAGAGTGGCAATACTGGGAGGATGAGGGGAAGGTGGGGTAGGAAGGGGGAACCGATCACAAGGATCTACATATAACCCTCTCCCTGGGGGACAAACAACAGAAAAGTGAGTGAAGAGAGACGTCAGACAGTGTAAGATGTGACAAAATAATAATTTATAAATTATCAAGGGTTCATGAGGGAGGGGAAATTTGAGGAGCTGATGCCAAGGGCTCAAGTAGAAAGAAAATGATGATGGCAACATATGTACAAATGCACTTGACACAACTGATGTATGTATGGATTGTGATAAGAGTTGTACGAGCCACCATTAAAATTTTTTTTTAATTTACATGTAGAAAACACTGAACTGGTCTATGTTCTACTGTGTATATTCTCCACAAAATAAAATAAACCAGGATGGATTCTGGAGCAGAAAGAGAGCATTAATGAAAAAAAAAGAAAAGATAAAATCTGTTTAGTGAATAGTAATGTACAAATGTCAGTTTTGGGGCTTTGACAAATATAACAATAAAAGGGGACTTCAAAAAGATCATGAAAATTTTCCGATGACCCCAGAGACACTAGAATGAGGGTTCCTGGGGGGTGTAGCGCGGAGGGGCGGTATGGGGTGCTGGTATCAATTCAAGAAGGAAGAAAATGGGGTTTTTTAAAATCCTTTTATTAGGGGCTCATACAACTCATCACAATCCATACACACATCAGTTGTGTGAAGCACATTTGTACACTCATTGCCCTCATCATTCTCAAAACATCTGCTCTCCACTTAAGCCCCTGGTATCAGCTCATTTCCCTCTCCTCCTGGAAGAAAACATTTTGAAACTGATTTTGGCAGCTACTGTGTAACATTGCTTGACGTGACTGAACTACGGGAGGGTATGCTGTCTGGATTAGTGCCCAAGAAAATGGTTTGGAAAACATGAAGACAAAATCCCAGTGACTTCTAATTCCATCTCCCCCACTCTCTGAAGCCCCTCTGTGTAGAGGGGCACACAGGTGAGGAGCACACAAAAACTCTACCATCTCTGCAGCTTTCTATACATCTAAACTTCTATCTAAATATATATCTAAAGTTTTCCCCACACAAAAAGTTATTAAAAGGAAAAAGGAAGTAAATTGGGAATGTTTCCAGATTTTTCTCTGATCTCACTCAGAAAAACACCTCCCCGCCATCCCGCTGAGTCTGACTCACAGCGACCCTACACAAGTGCGCCTGTGGGTGTCCGAGACTAGTGTTTGAGAGGAGCAGAAAGCCTCGTCTTTCTCCTGAAGAGCTGCTGGTAGTTTTGAACAGCTGACCAGTGCATACACACTGCACCACCAGGACTCCTTGGCTTCTATGACTAGGCTAGCTCAAAGAACCGAAATAACCTATTTCCTTGACAATTAGATCCAGTTTTATAAAGCCACCTGTCTGACATCTTACGTATACATACAGTGCGCCTTTTTCAGCGTTTCTCTAGAGCAGTGGTTCTCAACCTGTGGATCGCAACCTCTTTGGGGGTTGAACGACCCTTTCACAGGAATCACCTGAGTCATAACAGTAGCAAAATGACAGTGATGAAGTAGCAACGAAAATAATGTTATGGTTGTGGGGAACCATATAAGGAACTGTATTAAAGGTCACGGCTTAGGAAGGGTGAGAACCACTCCTCTCGAGTCTAAAGAGGTTATATATACATTGCTAGAAAATAAAATGTTTCCTTTAGATTTTTAAATTTGTTGGCCTCAAGTAGGATATATCCTTTTACTTACAATTTTTTCTATTTTCATCCACACCTGTATTGACCCTTCCCATTCTAAAAATCATATACTTTGGTGTTTCTCTTTTTCCTTAAATAGGGTGATTCTTTATTCTTAAAGAATCGGTCTCTAGTTGTGCATGTACTTAAGTTTCCACTGGATTCTCGCCGATTTCAGCTTACTATGCCTGTCCACTTCTCTCTCTTCCGCCACACCTGCATGTCACAGTGCCAAGAGGAAGGCTTTCCAGGTCCTGAGCCAGATAGGCTCTCCCACAATTCCAGGAGCCCTCGGTTCTAGAAGCAGCCCTTTGTCTAAATCACAGCATGAGCACCGCCACCCTGACCTGAGGTCTGCTTTCCCTACTGTCCCGGGAAGTTCCCCGAGGACAGAGAATGTCTCCTTCCAGACCTCCTTACCCCCACCCACCCGCACCCCCACCAGGCTGCAAGAACTCACCGTGTAGACAAGGAGGTGGGGTCCAGGGTCCAGATGAGAATGCAGCTCTGGCAAGCCACAGCCAGGACAGAGGCACTGAGGGGCTTCCAGGCAACGGCCGCCACATTTCGCTGCAGCCGGTGCTTCAGGGAGGGGACTATGGTGCTGGGGTGAAAGGGCGGGGACTGAGCCAAAGCAGGGACCCCAAGGCTCAGGGGCCCCCGGGGAACTGAGAACGGAAGAATCACAGAGAAGAAAGCTGATCCAGCCAGAGCCAGAACGGCCAAAACAGAGGACAGTGCCATCAAGATTAGATCTGGACACCGAACATGCCCAGTTAGGAAGCCTCTTGGCCCGTTCGGGGTGAGGAAGCTCAGGACGAGTAGTTCCCCTGGGACCTGGGAACATGGCTGGGAAGGGGCGAGGGGACACTCCCACATACCTGTTTGCATTATACACCCGGATGGAGTCATCTAGCAGGGCCACTGCAAATTTGTTGGTGTGGGGGTGCCAGGCAAAGCCCCGCAAGCAACAGTTGTTCCTGGGGCGGGGTGAGCAGGGAGTCTGGGCCTGGGTGTGCACTGCCCCACACCGCAGCCCAGAGCTTGGGTTCCCTTTCATGGGAAGAGATGGTGGGGTGTTCTCTTTCTTGGAGGGGCGGGGGAGTCGGAGGAGTGAAAATATGGTGAGCAGTCTGGAAAGTGGCAGTGGGGCAGGGAGGGGTGGTCTCACCTCTGACTTCCCTCTCCCCAAAAGAAGTTCCAAGGTTCAGGGCTTACTTCCTACCAAAGTTCCAGAGTTTAAGCACTTACCAATTTGTGACCTGGGCAAATTCAGCAATCATATCTTCACTCCTAAGCTGTAAGGGCAGCCAGACAGAGGACACACTAGGGCAGAGGTAGCTCGCTCATCCCTTTAATGTGCCCACTGGGGACCCAACCACCCCGCCCTTAGAGGTCTTGGCCCTCACTGATTCTTCCCACCCAAGTGCAACTTCAGAGAAAGGACATGCAACCATGGAGGGGAGGGAAGGGGAGAGGCACTTACAGAGAGATGGGGGAACAGGGACCCATGGAGGGAGGAGGCCCAGCGAGAAAGTGCCAGTGCCCAGCCAGACGCCTTCTTCACCCACTCAAACACTGCGGGGTCGAGGGAGCTGCTGTGATTAAACCGCTCACAGGGTCGGTCCTCACTCAGCACCCTCCCCGCCAGGCGTGAGCAAGGACAAGCACTGCCCAGCCCAGGAAAGGTGAGGGAGGTCACACAGAGATGACGGGAGCAGTGTAGACAACGTGTCCAGGGCAAACAGCATTAAAGGGGAAGAGGCTGGGCCAAGAGGTGATGGGGTGAGGTAGCTCTGGGAGAACACAGAGGGGAGACCCCAGACACAGCAGGAAGTATAGTTACCTTCTTCCTCTGAGCTTGCAACTTCATTCAGCACCCCAATAAGGCCCACCTCACGCCTGATGAGCAAAGGCAGGCATGAGTCAAGCAAGATTCCTGTAATTCTTACAACCACCCCCCACCCCCCGACCGTGCGAAGCCCCAAGTTTCATTCATTCAATATACTTGTGTTAAAAATAAGGGCACTCACAGTTCATGAAGTCAATTAAGCCTCTAACAAACAAAAAACGTGATTGGTATTTAAGCTCTCCCCGCAAAAAGCAAAATGTGCATACAGCAAACATGTCTAACTGTCTATACAGATTAGATGGCTGCCGGAGGGCTGGTAAAAATTGGGTCGCAAAAAAAAAATTGGGTCACTTACTAGGAAGCAGGGGGACGGGGAGGGGGGGACGTAAGGGGGGGGACGCGCACATGCAATCAAGAGTCAGACAAGCTGGGCTCAAACACTAGCATCTCTGCTTCCAACTGATCTTGTTATTTAATCTGCCTGTGCCTCAGTTTCTGCATCTTAAAAAATAGGGATAACAATAGTACCCACGTTATAGGGTTGTAAAAGGCTTAAATGAGATATAAATTCTTTTGCGTGCATGTAGTAAGTACTCAATAAATATAAGGTGCGGTTATGAAAACACAAAGGCATTCACATTTCATCAGTGCTATGTTCCAGGTACTCTATAAACTGCCCTTTAGTTTATTATATTTTTAATCATTTTATTGGGGGTTTGTACAACGATGCCCTTTCATTTAATCACCACACTGGTCTTCTGGACCGCTTCCTTTCTGCCCATTTTACAGATGAAGACATTAAGGCTCGGAGGTCTTGCAGGGCTCTGTGAGCAGGTCAGGAAGTCAAGACTTGCTCTATGACGGTGAGTGGAGTGCCATGGAAAGGGTGTCAGCAGAGGAGTAAATTGATGACAGTGGCATTTTAGAAAACTCCCTCTGGCTGCAGAGAGGAAGACCAGAGTAAGCAGATCAGCTAACTGAGGTGACCAGATTTTAACATTGGTAAAGCGGGACACCATTGATAAAACTCATAGCCTGGCGAAATACCCACATGGCAGCCGAAAACCGTATACCCTAGCTTGTCGTGCATTCTTTCCAAAAATTGGGACTTTTTTAAAGCGACACAGGAAAAATTGTTAAAAGTCAGAACTGTCCCGCCAAAAGCGGGACGTCTGGTCACCTTAGCTAAGACGCTACCTAGAAAAAGGCGAAAGTGGCCTGATTCGGTACAGTTGGAGTTGAGAAAAATTCAGGAATCAAAATGAGTGGAATTTTGGGGACCGATTAGGCAAAGTGGTAAGGGCAAGAGGATGATCAAGAGCAACACCTGGGTATGGATTGAAACAGCTAATATTGCTCGAGCATCGGGTCCCAGGTGCTGGGCGAGGTGCTTCACATGCTTTAGCTAATTGCATCATCACCACAAAGACAAGTGTTGTGTATCATCTGCATTTCTAGGTGAGACTCACAGGGGCAGGAAGAGGTTAACAGCACCTTGGTGGCCCCGGGAGTGAAGGACAGGGCCAAGAGCCAATGCCAGTCTATCTGTCCCAGACCCACACTCGAAATATGGACCCCTACAGCAAGGGTGAACCTCTTCTTTGAGCGGAAGAAACCCGGACAGAAGGTCTGGGAGGGAAGGGAAAAGGCCGGTTTTGCATATGCAGACTGTGCGAAGAAGACTATCAGTTAGGAATTTTTGGCAGACAAGTGAACATCTAGGAGCACCAATCAGAAGTCAAGGGAGATGTGCTAGGGCCCCCGGAACACCAAGGCTTAAGGAATATCAGGAAGAGAAAAGACAAAAAGCTGAGAAGCAGGGGCCAGAAAAGCAGAAGGCTAAATAAAGGTCAGTGTTGAATGTTTGTCCTTAACCAAGATAAATATTTTAATGTGATTATTTTTTTAAATCGAAATTACTGCAAAGAAAAAAAAATCCATGACAAAAACCTTTTAAATGAACACAAGATTAAAAAAAAATCCTATCTTATTTAAATAAAGACACTGTTTTTCTTTTACCACAGGCTGCAATATAACTCAGCACAGCATGGTAGTATAAGTTTTTTCTTTTTTAATAGTTTATTGGCATATAATTCACATAAAATTTAACAGTTCATCATAATAAGAGTTGTGCAATCTTGGTGTTTTTAAGCAATGGATTGAGACATGCAAATAAACTGTTAACATCAAACTGTCCTGCACACCAAAGATCACCACTGATGAGATGTGGTGGAAACAGGGACTCTCCTACATAGCTGGTGAAACTAAATACACACTGTTCCAACAGAGGATTAGTAGGCTGCAGCTCATTAAATTGCAAATGAACATACCCTTTAGACCCTACTAACAGTAGCTAACCCAACAGTTATAGGGATTCACATGGGGCAGGCACTGTTCTCTAAGTGATTATGTCTATTAATTCATTAAATTGTGACTAATAAATAAATTAGGCCTGGTGGTACAGGGGCTCCGCATTGAGCTAAGCTGCGACCCCCAAGGTCAGCAGTTCAAAACCACCAGCCAGCTCATTGGGAGAAAAGACAGGGCTCGCTACCCCCACATAGAATTACAGTCTGGAAAACTTACAGGGGCAGTCTTACTCGATCCTATACGGTTGCTATGAGTTAAGAGATTTTACTCAATGGCAGTGCGTTTGGTTTGTTTGTCAATTATAAAAAGCCCTGTGGCACACTGGGTTATGAGTTGGCTTGCTAACTGCAGGTCAGCAGTTCAAAACCATCAGCCATTCCAAGGGGGAAGATGAGGCTTTCTACTGTTGGAAAGAATTAAAGTCTTAGAAACCCACAGGGGCCGTCCTACTCTGTCCTGTAAGGTCTCTATGAGTCAAAATTTACTTGAGGGCAGGTAGATGGACTCATATGATAGGCTCCATTTTACAGATGAAGAAAGTAAAGGACAATATGATTAAGGCATACAGGTTGAAAGTGAAACGGGAAAGGAACCCTCCCGGTAGGGCTCCCCTCCCACATGTGCAAAATGACTTGGTGTATGAGACTATTCAATGCAACTTTATACCTAACCTTACTGGACTTCAGGTAAAGGCTGGGAACTGGTGGGAACCTGAGACTGGGTTAGGTGGCAAAGAGCAGACTTCCGTGATCAAACCAGAAAAGACAAATGGCAAAGAAAAGACGACAACTGGCAAGTCATTAGAGATGAAAAGAACAGCAATGCCGAGTGATCATCTCATACAATCAACGATATATGCTTCTGGGCAAGCGAGTTCGGATGAAACAGCCTTTTGGAAAAACAATTCAAGCAGAAGGCTAGTCAACCTCTTCCCCAGAAGTGCAGGGCCTGGCTCGGGCGACCCTTTGTGCCATGCCTCACCAGATGTTAATGCATCGCTTCCAGACTTGCTCCCGGTGGTGGATGAAAGCAGTTCTTGTGCCATGGTCCAGCCTCCCAGGAGTCTTCAGGGGATCCTTAGCCAGGTGTAGGACAGGAAGATTGATCCACTGCAACCCAGAAGTTAAGGGTGTGACAATGAGTTGCCTAATCTCCAGACCTCTGCTGAACTCTGCCATCGCCAACCCACACCTGGGCTAACGGTAAGGGGCCCAGACACCCATTTCCACAAACACTCGTGGAAGAGGGAAACAGGTCTTAGCTTTCTCACACAGCAAATGCTCAATACCTGTAGCTTTCCCTCCCCTTTCTCCCCAAGGAATACCGTGGAAAAAGTATATTCCAGGTTGAGCCTTCCCTATACTAGTAGACTGTCCCTACCGTCTCGACCGACGTTCTCCTGCCCAATCACATGCCCTGTCCGCTCCTCAGTTCCTGAGCGTTCTCAGCATCCCTTATCCTCCCTCCGGAAAAACACACTTCAGCCCCTTCCAGCCTCTCACCCCGGCTCGGGTGTTTTCAGCCCCCCAGGCCGACCGCCCTCCTCCCACCACGCTACTTCGGTTCCCTCGCTCTCCCTAACTCGGCCCCCAGGTCTGCAGGTCCCCCCTCGCTCCTCGCCCAGGATACCTGGCCCCGGAAGTCAGGAGGCGGGCTCTCATAGCTACTGCCTGTCACCAGCTCGTTATTGTGCTCATATAGCGTGACTTGACCCAGGGGCGGCGGCGGGGGGAACAACCCCAAGGAGCACATCTCGCCCGCCCGCGGCGGCGCAAACCCAGTTCCTCCGACTCCGTTCCCGGGCTAGATTCAGAGGCAGACGGGTAGCCGCATGGGACAAACGGCGAGCAA